ATTTCAGAATAGCCGATCATCATCATCATCATCATCATCATCATCATCATCATCATCATCATCATCATCATCATCATCATCATCATCATCATCAACACCACCAATGCCTTTCTACCGTGCTTCAGGATTTCGGTCAGGAACCAGCACTTTCCAATTTTCCCTATCCTGGACTAGCCCCTTAATAGTATTTTCTTATATATATATATATATGTGTGTGTCTTTCCCCTTGGCTGTCGGCTTTTGTGTTGACCAAACGGTAACTTGACACATCACCGTGACACAGTCGATAGAATGGAACTCACCTGTTTAAATTCTTTTTTTTTTTAAGACACCCGTTATTAATGCATTTGTCTAATTATGGTGTGCTCGCGATTACTTAAAAGATAATTGCTAAGGGATAAATGAGATGGAGCTTTTAAATTCTGTTTTGTTTGTTTTTTGTTGTTTTGTTTGTTTTTTGTTTTTGTTTTTGTTTTGTTTAGGAGATATATATCGATTACGAAAAAGCATTTGACACACAGTGGACAGGGAAGCGTTTTACAAACTAACAAAATCCCAGAAAAACTAGTTGTTTATTGCATTGCCCTTTTCTGTCCTCTTGTGTCCTCTTGTACCGTAGGGTGTCGAGGGGAGATATATACAATACAATTGACAGACCTGGGCCAAGTGTGTTATCTTTTGGATCGTTGAGTTGTTCTTTTAGAGGGTCTCTTTGATTCTCCTTTTGTCCTTCGAAATCTTTTTCTTGGTATTGCTCATGCTTTGAAGTAATGAAATCTCGTAAAATGGGCATCTGGTGTCGATTGGTGTTGTCCCATTCTCAACAAGCATACCTTCGAAAATCAACTTATGATTGAACAGAACACACTGTCAAGCTTTCATGAAGATCAGCTGTCGGAACTTCTTCAGCTTCAGACAGGATTCCGGCAGGGGTGCCTTCTGTCAGCTTTTGTCTTCAATCTAGTCATTGGTTGGACCATGAAGGAGACCACAAATGGAAAACGAAATGTAGATGGTATTCAATGCACAATAAGATAAGATAAGATAAGATAAGATAAGATAAGATAAGATAAGATAAGATAAGATAAGATAAGATAATACTTTATGATCCCAGAGGGACAATTTTTCTTAGCTTTACTGGACCGTAAAAACACACGCAGGTCTACACACACACACACAAAATTATATATTATTACGCTCATTAAAATTGAATTGTGGAAAGAGAAGTAAAACTGAAAAAATGTACATTCACATCAAATGCATCATTGAGTATGGCAACAGCTAGATGATTCTACCGATGACCTTGCCATGTTATCACACACCCAGATCCAAATGCGAGCGAAAACAAACATATTGATGATCTCAACCGCGTATGTAAAACTGTTTCCTTCTGCATCCATACAGGCAAATCTCTCTCTTGCCCTTTTTAACTCCCAGTGGAGCACAGGCCATCAACAACATTACTCCAGCGAAGCCTGTCCTGAGCATCCTTTTCTATCTGTTTCCATGATGTCCCCGTAAATATTGATATTACAATTTGTACAAAAACAGAGGAACCGATCACAAGAGGAAACACATCACTTTAAGTTGTGAAATCTTTTACCTGTCTACTTAATTTCGGTTGGAATTTTAAAAACCTTGTGTATTGTTCTAACACACAAACTGATTTTCTTCATATTGACAAATTTGACGTCTCTTTCAATGGGTTTCAATTCTTCGAGGCTTTGTTTAGCTTGGTGCCAAGATGACCCTTTTACATGGGTCCTTTTTTAAAGACATCCGATACTAATGCATGTGTTCATTACCGATGTGCACGCTATTAAGAAAAAAATCGCAAGGGGGTCAATAAGACTGATTTGT